CCCTTTCCCCCCCCCCCCCCTTCCTACCCTCCAGGAGGATTTGATTTCTGCAAGTGACGACTATCTTTTTAAAACTCTTGCCTATAGAAGGGCTTTGTAAAGCAGCTGTACTAGTTACAGTTGGCCCTGATTTTATCTCCTACCTAATTCTCTGCTCCTTCAGGAATGTAACTGAAGTCCGATACAAAACTAGTATCAATGTCAAGTTCTGGAGGCAGCACTCAGAGCCAGATCCTTGAATGTTTCCACTCTTGTAAATACTTTTGACTGTTCCTTCATTCCTCTCTACTTTTTTTGCTGTAACTGATGCAAGAATTTTCACTTCTGGAAATGGGAGAGGGTGGGAGTGCGTGCATGTGGCTTCAAGAGGAATTGTTTGACTTGACCAATTGGCTATTGTTTGTTGAGCTAGTGTAAAAGATGACTTTCAAACACCAGTGTTGTATTTTAACATGCTGTTATGGGTTTTTTTTGGTTTTTCCTACTGTCCAATGATTAAAACCTATTACTGCTGTTCACATCATGAAACGCTGTGATTAGCACTTGACTGGATGAGGACATGGGTAATATAGCCTACCAAGGTTTTACTCTGTAATATCTCGGCTCTTCACTGGAATTGACTTTGGCCTAAATAAAACTTGTTTCCTTCTGGGAACTAAAGTGGCTTTTTTTTTTTCTGTTTTTTTGCTTCCTATTTTAATAGCTCAGTTGAGGCTTGCTCCTGTTCTTACTGTGGATGGTGGGGTAAGTTCTATATTGCTTGTTAAATCTTGTAAATTCCCAAGTCTCTGCCTAGATATGACTTGGAACAGTGAGGCACTTTCATCCAGTGACTTGCATGGGTTCAACAAAATCAGATCACTTTTTATTTTTAATTTCACTTATTTCATCACCTGTTGGGATTATGAACTGCTTTCCCTCTTGCTTGACTTCTCAGTTGGTTTAATATAACTTGAGGGAGGATTTGACACATGAAGTCCTTAGATCTGTGGAAGGCAATGAGCTGTTTAATCTGAAACTCTCTGACTGTAATTGGCATGCCTTCTGAAATGGGCATACAGACAGAAAGAAAAGTAATGAAATGAGATGGGTTTAAAAATTCGTCTGTTCCAACTGGCTACTCCTATAAATGTGTTTTATTTAAGAAGAACTTGGCTCTTGTTTTGGTGAGCTAAGGCAATGGAATATAGATTTGATCTTCAGTAAACTTGGATTGGACCTATACTGAGCATGATTTAATCAAGGTGGCTTTTGGTTTTCTAGGTACCAGCAGGGAGCTGTGAAGCTTTAAGTTCAAATGGATCACAATGTCATCTTCAAATAGTGAGATCATGAAAACTCTGAAAGCTCTTTGAGGGGCTTAAAGTTAGTCTGATTGCTCTTAAAGGGCGCAAGCAAGATATTCAAGCACTTGTTGCAGCAGTCTCCGTGAATCTTGGATGATGCCTTGTACATAACTGTATCTGCTGTTTTGTTTTAAATTGCATTTTTAATTGAATAGAATATGGTTGCCTTGGTTTCATCTTTGGTCACTTACATGGTGGTTGTTGGGACACTGGGGTTGGTTGAAATACAAATTCAACCTAAGCATTCCTGTCATAGGGAAAACTGGGGGCACTTGGAGGGGTTGTATTGCAGTCTATTATAACTGGATATGCTGTTGGGAAAATAACATTTCCATCTATTGATAAATAAAACCTGCTGTCAGTTGAAATACATGGTGCCATGGTTTCATCTTTTGATCAGTTTTTTTTTTTTTTTTTTTTTTTTTTTTTTTTTTTGGGGGG